CCTAAGTTGTCTACTGGAACATGTTTTAAATTTAGACCTATTGCTATTACGTCTCCTTTTCTAAAAGCTACTCTTACTTAATCTTCAACGTTCACTTAAAGCCTTTAACGATCCCGAATAATTCTCCTATAAACACAGTAGAAGTACTTTAGATGCAGTTGCAGTCTTGCATCATAACATTGGCTCCAGCTTAGACAAGGGGGCTAAATTTGTTGGCCACACCTTCCTAGATTACACATCTGCTTTCGACTCAGTACCTAGGAACATTTTGTTAATCAAGCTTGCTGAAACTCAAACTGACTGTTGGGTTGTCAAATGGCCGTATTCTTATTTCTGAGGAAGAAAGCAGTACACTGTATGTCAGGGAAAGTCGTCAACTTCTTTGCTTACTGAGGCTGGTGTCCCTCAAGGCGCTGTCCTTTCTCCTCTTCTGTTTTATTTCTACTTGCACGACTTGCCTCACTCTGATGAAATGAACTTTGTTAAGTATGCCGATGATCTAACTATTTCAATGTCTGTTAGCTCCCAGCTAGACTGTGGTAAGATGAGCAGCTTTCTATCAGGAGTTAGCGAATGGTCTTCATCTAATGGTCTTAAACTAAATCCTTCAAAATGTCAGACTGTTAATTTCAGTTTCCGATGTAAACGAAAGTTAAATGAAACCGTTGATTCATATTACCCTTGCAAAATTAGTGATACTGGTATAGAAATCAAGTCTGAAGTTAAGTATCTTGGATTAATTCTTTCTTCTGACCTACCTATCCTGGTCTTCCCATGTCTTAGCGATTTCTAAAAGAATATTTCGTCTGACTTTTTACATTAAGAAGTAAAGGCACTCAGACATAACTCAACTCCTCCCCTTACAGTTTGTCAACTCGTGCATATTACCTATTCTTCTTCACTGTTCACCCTTATTCTTTCCTGGATTGCTTTAAAAAGACTAAGTCACACTTTGTAGAACTTTGAAGACTGTCAGTAGGACGAGTGGTATCCTATTGGGCCATATCGTTGACATCGTCATTGATAGGCACTTGATTTCATGCAACAAAGTCGCTAAAGGGTAAATTTTTGTTTTGATAAAGTCTCACAGTGTTATAGAGTAATGTTTACTGATGACGTTTCGAGTACAATTTATTGCTCATAATCACATCAAGGTTGATAATGGAATTATACTCTACCACAGTGCACAAGTTTTATTCTTATATCAAAGTCGTTAAAGGGATTTTGTCAGACTGTGAGTATCCACAACAGTACCCGTGTAACAACAGAAGACAAGGGCCAGGCAACAGATCGTTTTATTATGAAAATCAACACGTATTTATACATGTTTCAACTACATTATTATAGACAAGCGCAGTCATCTGATTGGTTGTTTAGGTAGACAAACGCAGGCTTCTGATTGGTTGTTTCGGGATTCCTTGACAAATAGAGTTCTCTCTGCGAATCATATTCTGCCACGTTAACTTTGCTGTGATTGGTTGTTGACTCAGGCTTGTTCCTATTTTCTCACGGCCCATATTAGTGACCTAGACCTTAACGTAGATTAGTGCCAACCAATCGGCTAGCAGCCTGCTCTCACCACACTCGTCCCCCCGTCAAATACGTGCGACTGAAGTCGGCTTGATCTACTTGGTGCAGGCGTCATCGTTGGCTTGTCTCGCTGTATCCATTTCTGGAGCTCGCTGACGTACACGCGCCTCTTATTGTTCGCCATTGCGACTGTGTCTGCGTAACCCCATCTCGAAGTGACCATATATGGTCCTTCCCACTTTGGAAACTGTTTGCCTGACCCTGTCGAACATTCGTCCAAACTTCGGCTCACACTTTCATATGCTGCTTTCACCCGACCTCCCAGCAGCGTCCCAAGTAGCAGCTCCATCGCTGACAGATCTTGAACGCCACTCAACTGCGCAGAAGCCTTGAAGTCCTGCCCGAAGATCCATATGTCTCCATCAAAAACTGCAGGGTATAGGCTTTTCATTTGTCGGTAGGCAGCGACACCAAATGTAACAACAGAAGACAAGGGCCAGGCAACAGATCGTTTTATTATGAAAATCAACACGTATTTATACATGTTTCAACTACATTATTATAGACAAGCGCAGTCATCTGATTGGTTGTTTAGGTAGACAAACGCAGGCTTCTGATTGGTTGTTTCGGGATTCCTTGACAAATAGAGTTCTCTCTGCGAATCATATTCTGCCACGTTAACTTTGCTGTGATTGGTTGTTGACTCAGGCTTGTTCATATTTTCTCACGGCCCATATTAGTGACCTAGACCTTAACGTAGATTAGTGCCAACCAATCGGCTAGCAGCCTGCTCTCACCACACCCGCAGTTCCAACCTTGTGTCTCCTCGGGTAAAACAAGAAGTCTTTTCAGAAGGCTTTATACATGTGCGTCAAAGTATAAAAATTCTACTTTACCATATTTAGCACGTACTTTATGCGATGAAAATAGTGTCTGGCATGAACTAACTAACTTTCTTTGCACTAGTAAATAAACCACTTTTTCCACCCTTACAACATCAAGCTTTATTCTTATTGTATTTCTTATATTTATAATCCTCTCAATTTTTTTTTCATAAGTAAGAACATAATTTAAGTTGTGTTAATAACTGTTAATTTTGTATTTCCCCTCACTATCCTATGTCAACGGAACATTAGATTCAATAACCTATAGCATGCTAAAAATTCCCACACTGAATCGACAATGCTGTTTGAAACAAACTCACTGTTATTATTATTATTATTATTATATTTAATACTCTCAATTCGTGCTTCGAATATTTTTTGACTTTATATCGTTAACGTGGACAAATCCCTCTGGTTAATTTTGTTTTAATTTTTAATTTTATTTATATTTTAAGTAAATCAGATGCAATGTTGTGACAAACGCTGAGAATTCTATCCTATATTATAAGTACTGTTTTTGGAATATTGTAGATTATTAAATTATTAAAAATATTCACACTATACAAAATGTCAAAAATGCAGCAAAAAACATATTTTGGTAAAATCCATACAATCAAGAGCTGAAACAGTCCATTTTGCTCCATAGCTGTTCATTTAGCAGTCCAGAACATATTTATCCAGAACACTTACTGAGCATGTGACAGACAGAAAGTTGATGATATAACCCAGTTACCCAGGTTGAAATGTATGACGATGTCAATCTAGCTCAGAACCAATCAGCTAAAGTCGAACGCTCAAGTCAATGAACCTAATCATCACTATATTTAGGTAATGATTCTCATGTACTATTCAACTTTTAGAGTCGGTGGTTGGATTGTACAATGGTCAGCCGCCATATGAGTGGTTCAGGTTGGATTCCTATCCGATGCACACCTAAAGCTTGCCTAGATTACTAACCTATAGTAATCCCGGAAAAAGAGGGGAAGACTGGGTGTAAGGCTGGCAACCGGCTACCAATGAAGCATTATGTTCCATTTAGAAAGCGAAAGAGTTAAACAAAGCATGCAGACATTCAACTGCTCACATAATGGTAAATCGAAATCGAAGCAGATAATATAAGCTTAAATCTGCAAACAGAATGTTTAGTGACAAAACTAACAAAATACAATTTGATATATATATATATATACTTTTACTACGAAATAATAAATTAAATTGAGCTGTCTGGATTTTTTTCTTTACTAAAACAAAACTAAAAATGCAGTTAGAAGTCATCTATTCTTTTCTCACTGGAGTTGTAACAACAATGTCACTCGGCTAATCGTTAGTTTTGGCATTGACTGAATTCGATCAGCCAACTTTTCAGTACGGTCACCAAGGTGGAACACTCGCCAGCGCAGTGGACACACTGAATTATTATTGAATGCCTGAAGATGATCCATAGGAAGCCTAAGACCTGAATTTCCTGCTTATTGGTATTGAAAATTAATCTGATGCTGACCAGTGACTGCTAAGAGCGTGGAGAGAGCAGGCTGCTAGCCAACGTCAATGTTTATGTCGCAAATATTTTGGTCGTGAGGAAGTATGAACAAGACTGATTCAATAACCAATCACAGCGGACTTTGCGAAGGCAGATACAGTTAACATACAGATGACCGGATATTCAAGAAACAGTCACAAAGAGATGCAAGGTCAACTTTCTGTGAGAAACAACCAATCAGAAGAGTGTGTTTGTCTGCTTGAATAAGCTATAACAATGTACATGAAAATATATAAATGCGTGTTGATTTCCTTAATAAACGATCTGTTGCCTGGCCCTTGTCTTCTGTTGTTACAACAGCACAAAATTGCCTGAAGTTTTTGTGAGAAGTCGTGCCCGATGGGGTTCACCCAGTCGGGAGCGACGGGAATTACTCGACAATGACATAGGCTGGTGGTTGCGCTAAAGTCACGAATTGGTAGAAGTTATATTTCATGGGTCCCAGTGGCTGAATGATCTCTGAGCTTGCCTTGTAATCACAAGGTCCTGAGTTTGAAACCCGGTGGGCGCGTACAGCCGACGAGTCCTGAACTAGCAAAAAAACAGCTGTCCAGTACTCTTTAGCTTTCAATGGTTCTTTAACTAAAATATCAATCCGTGGTCAAACTTGAAACAAATCAAATTCGTACAAGCACACTCTTAAAAATTATCGAAATCCGTTGACAACGCATGTCTCTGCCTTCAAACATCTGACAATAATTCTAGTCTGAAACAATATACCAACAACAGTGACAATCATAATGGTGATAATGAATAACAACCCTCCTGGAAGTCTGCCATTCCAGAGACTGGTGGCGCACACTCTGTTACAATCAAATCAAAATATCCCTTGGAATCATCGGTTTATGGAAAATAAATCGGTCAGAAGAAATCATTCATGTATCAGGCTAAAAACCACACTGATAATACCAACCGGTTATCCAGGCTGAGTTAGATAGAGTCCCAATTCTGAGTGCTTTAGACAATGAGCTACACCTTCAGCTTGCAATTATCACATAATAAATCAAAACGAAAATAAGGGAGGAGAAAAAGAGAATTGAACTTACTGTAGAAAAAAGAAAAGTATACCCATAAACTAATGCTGGTATCCATAACCGATGAATAACTGATAAGAGAATTGCTGGGATAAAACCAAAATTTGATAGAGATAATAGAATAGCGTCATATGATAATATTTGCCTTTGTGGATTAAGACCAAATGTATGAAAATATTTAATTGGTAATGGCATACAGCCTAAACCAGCATAACCAATAGGACATGCACAAGTAGATACATGAATTGATCGTTGAAAAAGATTTATGCATATTCCTTCACCTGGTATTTTATGCAGTCGTTTTCTAATAGGTATTGGTTTAAATGGACTGTCATAGTTTGAAGCGGTTAACTTATCTTTATCCGGTATAGCATCAATATTGTCATTGTTATAATCACTATTTGACCACCATGGTGGACGCCAACGTTGATTAATATCTCTAGCAGTGGAAATATTTTCCTGACATAAAATAAAAAGGAAAGTTAACCATCAAAATAAATACAGAAAAGAAAAAAAACACAACAAATAAGCAATTAGTCAGCAGTATACCATGACATATGTGAGATGCGAGATAAAAAAAACTTTCCCATTAACTCCCTGAAATAAATGTTTTACATACATACCTTTTTGTAATGTGAAATAGTTGTGATAAATTCTTGTCATAAATGAGAAAGTAATAACTTATTAGTCTGAAATTTCTCTTGTATGTGCTATTCAACTCAAATTAGTATTTTATAAGATTTTATCAAGAGAAAAAAATAAAATAAAAAAACGTTTACTTTTCTACTGAATATCCTGTTTATCTATTGAGCTTTAAAAATGAAATTATGCTGAATACCCTCAGGATTATTTAGCTACAATTATCTATCTATGCAATGCAGAAGATAGAACAACACTGAGCAAACTTTAAATATACAGTAGGGCTAAAAACCAGAAAAAAGAAATCGATTTAACAGAAATTGTTCTGATAGTTTTTTTTCTCCTCTCAAAAAGTCACACTCTAGTAGAAATCAGGCCAGAAATCAGCTTGAAAAAGACAACATTTTCATGTGTATACATGTTGAAAACACTGATTTCCTAAGATTCCTATGACAAACAAAAAATTGGACAATTGTTCCGCTTTCGGTTTTTCAAGTTTGTGGAGATTTCGATTATTCCAGTGGAGAGTTTTTCACGAGTCGATATCAAGAAGTCAGTTGCAGCGAAGAAAACTTTCTTTTCGACGAAGTCATCATCTAGGCTGTACATTCGTGTATTTATATCAAATGGATGGGAAATTTCCAGAATAATATCCGATCAAGGGTCGAATTAATAAAAATTAAAATTAGGGATTAGAATGCCATAATAAACAGGGGGATGGATAAAACAAACAAAGCAGCATCATAGTAACTAAGAAGATTGACACTGTGCAATTAGGGGTTAGAAATGCAGAAACAACAAAATAGACAGGATGTTTGGATAAAAAAAACTAGTGTGGTGAATAACTGTTTATGCGATCTGGGATTAAATATGTAGAAATAGTCGATATCAGTTAAAGAATTATTGAGAACCATAGAGTACTGGGCAACTGTTTTGGCCTAATGTAGGAGTCATCACCAGTACACTTAGTCTCACAAAATGAAGATCTTGTGTTCTGTTCCTAATGCGGTTGTCGTATTGCATTGATAACGATTCTCAAACGTGAAAGAAATGGCTACCTAGAGTTCTTTTCCGTTTTAATTGAAGGTTCTTTAGTGAGGCGAACTTAAGACCACGAAATGGACAAGAAGCCACCAAATTTTTTCAAAGTTATCATCTTAAGTTTGAGAAACTGGATCGAGTATGACTTTCAAAATATCTCAGTCTAGGATTATATATATATATATATATATATATATATATATATATATATATATATATATATGGCTCCTTACTTTTCTGTGATTCATTGTCAGTTTCCAGAAGAAAATCTCGTGTGACGTTCTACTTAAAGAGGTTCCGACGATCTGGTATCTTTCTGTCTCTACTGTTACAGTTTGTTAATTCTTGTATTCTGCCTATACTTCTTTACTGTCCTCCCCACCGTTAATCTTTCCTAGGCTATTTAAGAAAGAGCGCTATACTGCAAAGGGCACTAAAAGCCGTCAGTAGGGTGACTGAAGTGTTGCTGAACCAACTCGGTAACATTATTCTAGACAGATAAATGGATTTCAGCAAGAAATTAGCAAATACTATCTCGTCATACTCTAAGCATCCTCATTATACACAACTCTCTCCTTGCATCTATCTCATTGGGTAGAAACTAGAAACAACTACAAAAGACTGTATGCCAGGACGACTAAGTATAAAAACTCTACAATACATTATTCGGAAGGCACACAATTTACATGATGAGAAAAGTGTAAGGTAGGAGACATTACCAACTTACTGCTGAGCTCTAAGTGAACGGGCCCCACTTTCCTTCTTTCTCAGTGTTACATTGCCGTTAATATTATCACTTAATTTAATTTTATTTTTGTTCCAAAAGTACTGTTTGGAATAATGCTATTATTATTACTATATTTAGTAGGAACTCAGTTAACTCATCACAAACCTAGGAAATCATCATCGAAATAAATTTTGAATAAACCCATATAATTATGCATAGTTCAGTGCTAAAATTCTTTTTGACCTCAAGGCTAAGTGTTTCTTCAAAGTTGAAAATACACCGTGCTGACTGACGAGTACCAACATTTTTTTTATTCCTTCAGGTTGCCAGTGGAACATAGGGCGGCGAGCGTCCTAACCGCTAGGCCACCGACGCACAGTACCAACATTTAAGAGAACGAATTTACTGTTGACTATTTGTTTGCATATAATAGCCGTATAAAATCTGCTCCATAGTATCCAGAATTATCGTTTCACCCAACTTAATGGCAGTACTCATGTTTAGTTTTAGTGTAGAGTGAAGAATAATTAATCGTAAAAGAAAAAGCTGAAGATAGTGTACACAAATGCATAAGTTGAAACTGGATAAAAATCACATTTTCAGAAAATAATTTCCACACAGAATCAACTGGATATTATTATTATTATAATTAAGACTTACTTTAAAGTTATTTGGATACAAAAGACGAGACGGTGCAAGAGAAGCACCTTCACCAATCTGTCGACAACGATTATTTATACATGGAGTTGAACGTATAATAAGTGAGACATCAATAACTGCTGACTGATCGAATCCACAAAAAGCCCTATTAGTTGGATATATAAAAGATAGAAAAGATTGGACAACAGTAAGGCATTTTCAAATTAACTAGCAATTAGTAATGAATGGACTATAATCACTGTTTAATGTTAATAGAAATGTGTTCTTTTTTCATCACAGGAGCTTCACAAATGTCAATACACAAAGCGAGAACGAGCATATTTGCAGGATAAAAACAGCTCGTGTTTTTCTGTTGTTGATTACGCGATTTATTTTCTAGTTATTTTGTAGGACTGATTTGTCTCAAGTCCGATCCCGGATTGATATCAGGTAGAGAACTAGTGTAAACTAGAGAGTACTGGACAGCTGTTTCGTCCTAGTTTTAAAATTAATCTGATCTTCGATGGCTGGAAGCAATCGGCAGGAAGCCTTGGACCTAGGTTTCGTGCTAGTTGGCACTCATCAGCAAGGCGTATCTGAAACCTTGAAGGAACTCATATCCCTTCTGAAATTCTAACCCGCGTCACCCAGTGCCGCAGTCAGAGATGTCACCACTGGGCTATTCGAGCTCGCGATTGACCTCCTGTAGGACTGTGGTGGATATTTTGATTGGACACTAGTAACTAGTGTGATATGTTTAGTCCTTTCTTTGGTGCAGACTGAATTCTATCAATCAGGTTTGTAATGTGGCCACCATTCTAGGTAGCTCCCCATCACGGTGCACATCGATTTGATGATATTAGATGGTTAGAGGCAATTGGCAGGAAGCCTTGGACTTAGGTTTAGTGTTAGTTGGCACTTATTAGCAAGACGTATCTGCAACCTTAATCTGTTGTTCACTAGTGACTGACTACAAGACAAAGTTGTCTGGGGTTCTAGTGAGAAGCAGTGACCAGTGGGACACAACAGGTCGGGTATGAGAAAAAATGCGCACCGACGACACTGACCGGCAGCCACGGTAATATCGTGAATTAACAGAAGTTAGAATTCGTGTGTCGCTGAATACACGACTTATATGCGTTGTTTTTTAAGCTCTTAACAGTTGACGAAAAACCTTCAAATAGGAGAACATAAGCTTTTTTTTATCTCGCAAGTATATTTGATTTCTCTTGGTACAAATTAAACTAGGGAAATGGTTTCAAAAAAAGTCAATGACTTTAACATGCATATCTTTGAAACCGGTAGAAAAAATTAGTGTCGAGAACATTCGCTTCATGGTCAAGTTGCAAAAAAAAAATAGTGATCCAGGAGTGCAAACGCAACACTCAACTTCAGACGCACATGCAGAACAAGTTAGTGAAACCAGACGAAGAAACGGAAAATGTGTGAGAATATCAAACGGATTAAGTTAGGGGAAGATTGGGATTAAGGTAAAGGTAAGTATAAGTTAGGAGTAGATTGAAGCTAAGTTACAGGGAGATTAGAGATATTCAGGGTTAGATTAGGGTAGGTTAAGGGAGAGATGAGGGTTCAGGTTAAGTAAGGGGTGAGGTAAGGAAAGAGCTTAAGGTTAGGGTTGAGCGAGCGACTTGAATTCGTCTTTTGAAATCGATAGATTGTTTCAAGATCATCGGTGCATTCGCCATTTCTTTAACTTTGACTGTTTCACTCACTTTATACTTTGTTTAATTAACACTGTATGAGACTATAAAGATCTTCAATTAATGGGATTGAAACCAAAACAACGCATAAACTGTCATAAGTGATTTCAGAAAATCGATCTGAAACACTTGAGGAAACACTGATGAAATTTCAGGTCGGACTGTCTAATCTGAAAAATAATTAATCACATAAGCTTTACAACTTTGAGGTGAATATTTGAAGTAATGAAGAGGCAATATCCAACAACAGGAATAATTACATAATAAATTAAAAAAGATAGTGGGCGTGTGCGTCTGTATGTATGTGGGTTGAATTTGTTAATGACAAACGAAATTAGTCAAATTCACTATACGACATAAAGATAGCACGACAGGAAAAAGTCAGACAAATATAATGGAAATTATAATGGAAAAAGAGTACATATTTAGAGAAAACTTTTTCTTTTGAAAAGTAACACAAAAAGGAAAAATATTTGACGGTATATATTCATATTCAGTGTTCATTCTAACTCATCACCACACACACACACACACACATAAACACAGACAATATGATCACTATAATTAATTAAATGAATGTCTACACATCTTGACAAAAAAAAAGTTATTAACACGCAAATGTACAGTAGACAAACACGGATATGTCGAAAGGTGGAACAAAAGTGAAATAACAGAGAAGATACAAGTGAAGCTATGTGGAATAAATTAGACAATTACAAAAAAAAGAGAATATAGACCGACAGTAAGCATCTAATTCTAAAATTAGTCTCAACTAGAAACTAGATTTCAACTGAACTTCATCACGAAAAGAATCAGCTCGTTGCGTGGATTTGTACTGATCGACAGTACCACGAATGCGAGAAAAGTGAAGCTTAGTGTTGTTGGTGTCTTTTGTTGTTGTTTTTTTTTAAAATTTCAATAAATCACATCACACAGACAGACAGATAGACAAGATTGTATTTAAGAAACAAATCTTTAAATATTTTAAAACTTGAGGAATCCATCTTCTCACTAGCAATACAAATCTACTTTGTTTTATTTTTCTTTTGCGTTTCAGTGGAACATAGGGTTTCTAGCTGTGAGCTTTGAATTTTCAGTAGCGGAGTTGTTGCTGCTAGCCACATACACATACACACCTAATCCACCCTCTTTTTCCCTGATTTACTACGAGCTAAGCGAGGTTTAGCGGTGCATTAGCGGGAAATCGAACCAGAACCTCTTGTGTGGTTGAGAAGTAAGTTTTTCAATAGAAGCGACGGAGGGTTACAGCTTTTTGATTGCATACTAGTCAGTAACTAGTGTAATATGTCTAGTCCTATCTTCGATGCAGACTGAATTCTACCAGTTAAGCTCGCAATGTGGCCACCATGCTAGGTGGCTCGCCATTACGGTGCACTGTGAATTGTTAGTATTAGATGGTTGCAGGCGATCGGCAGGAATCCAAGTCTGACCTAGGTTTCGTGCTAGTTGGCACTCATCAGCAAGACGCATCTGCAACCTCAGAGGAACTCATGTCCCTTCTGAGATTCGAACCCGCGTCACCCAGTGCTGCAGTCAGCTTTATTAATTTAAGCGTAGGACTTCAGTAATATAAGTTTCCAGCCCATAGGTGTTACGAACTTCCTGGAATTATTTGAGCGTCGAGTCAGATTGAATCATTATAAATTATTTGAAATAATCTCAGAGTGTTTAAGAAAAAATCAAAACGAGATTTTTCCGAACGTTTCACTGTGTAAGCCACAGCTTCTTCAGCAGATTTATTCGGACTTTTATTAATCACCAAAATATATAGTCAAAAATGTTTAAAGAAATTGAAGTGAGTTTATTTGATGGTCATTTGTCCATGGATATTTTTACCTACAAAAATATGTAAGCAGTCATCATATACTTGTAATGACTAATGTCAAATTGTTATTGTGTATATTTTTCTTTAGCTGATTTGTAAGGATTAGTTCTTTATGAGTGTTTGCGTATGTTATTTGCCAGATGGAGAGACGTCATTTCACATGTGATAAACATGATAATACATTTTAAAAAAGGTCATGAAGGCTCATACAGTTTTTGTTGTTTTTTCATCTATCTTGCTTCATAAGAGTTCGCTATATAGGCGATAAGTCTATCTATTTCGTGTTACCTTGTTTGTTAGGTACACAACATAGTGGTGATATATCAACTCTAGATCAAAGAAAGATAGAGATCCAGGCTTGAAGCCTTAAATTTTTGGTTGGCTGTTGTACTGTATTGGGGTTGCTAGCCTCATGCCCAGCCTTCCCTCTTTCTCAGAATTACTACTGACTAGTAAATTAGGCGAGCTTCGGGGATTGAAGCCCGGAACACACGTGTACATGGCGAGCATTCTATCCATAAACCACTGACTCACATAAGCAGTGTGCACCTACAACCCCAATAGGGATGGAATCCGACACCTTCAGGTTACCAGACCAGGCTCATTGATCATTCAGCCACCTGGGTTGATATCGTTACTCAGCTGACATAATTTAAGAAGCCGGAACAGTATCAAAACCGGGAATCTATTGACTGAAAGGCAATTGCTTAATCCAGTGTGCCACATTTCTTAACCTTACCTTACTTATTCAGCTAAGAGACTAAAATTACCGTTCGTAATGTATACATGCCAAACAGTATCAGGTTACTTTGTAGAAAAACTAAGCTGTTGCATGGAATTCAGTTTACTTATTTATGCTGCACGCCTAAATAGTGCGCCGGTGGCACAGTGGTTGGGACTCTCACCGACCATGCACATGGTCTGAGGTTCGAGCCCTCGCCGACGCACACCTGATATCTATGGTCGGCCTGCGAAATTTGGGCTACCAATATCCATGCTAAAAATTGCATACTTGTACTAAAATACAGTGTGGAATCAAGCTGTAATCAAAAATAAAAAATAAAAATATTGAAAATGTCTGTAACAAAATACCATTTGTAAATAATAATAATAATAGTAGTAAAAACGAAAAAGAAAAGAAAACGCTTACTCATATGCTGTATAACATTCAGGATATATACTGAGGTACCAAAGTCCAGGTGATGGATAAGGAAAATAAAAAAAGCTTCTGTCTACATCTTCTCTAAATGATGTATCAAAATTCGGTGGTCGTTCACTTCGTCGCGGTGATTGACTAGAGGCGAAGGCTTGAAAAACAGCTGAAGATGTAGCGTGTGCTACAGACACTGCTAATCCATGGTCTGTAGCTAAACGAATCCATAAAGGACACTGACGTGGATCTGTAAAGCCTTTCGGTGTATTTGTCAAATGCTGAGCAAAACATCCATGCAGTATGATTTGACGTGGTAAAGGCTGAATAAACGAAAGAAAATAAACCATTATTTGTTGATAAAGAATTCATCTGAAGTAAAAACAAAAAAACTGTGAAACAATGCAAGTCACAAATAACAAAGAAGAGCGTGAGCGACCCTTTTTCTCCAAACCTCTTTAAAACGAATAAACTTACTGCTATAAATTAGGGAAATTTATATTCCTTATGATGTCACATCGGGGATTATTTTGGATCTTTAGACTTAAAGCACATCCCCATAAAGGATTAGCCAAGGAGACAACAAACAAAACTGAAAAGTCTGTGTATTTAGTAATTTGAAGGAATTAACAGTTTGTCACAATATAAACAATTAACAATTAATTAAAAGGAAGCAATGATTTAGAAAATTTATTGAGGTTTATGTCATTCAATTGCTGTAACACCACATATCAAAGTGCACTCAGGGGAAAACCTAGTCCTTGTGATCCTCTTATAGTATTATACTCCACAACAAAATATACTTCCGATCATCGTTATATTCGTGTATTTTTTGAGATAGACTTAAATATTTTTAAGAATTGCATTCATCCATTTCCAAGTTGTTTCTATGATAACAGGTTCATAGTTTATTTTAGGTCTTTACTTTTTGCTAATCATTTAACCTTTGAAAATTACCTACTATTTTAATGCACCGTTTATTTATAATTTCAAAATATATTTCACCACGAGCCAAACTCAGTTAGAGAACCACTGAAAATCAATTAACTGTTTCTTTCTAGTTTGAGAACCTTTCTGCAAACCGAAAACTTGGAGATTAAGCTCGTGCTTACTACTGACTGATGATAAGGTGAACGAATCGAAAGTGTAATGAGGAGTTGTGACGGCTGAGATCAGCTAAGTCAAGTATGAGGGTGAACACTTACTAATGACATTGAATGGTATTGACGCTAATTGACAGAAGATAGAATTAATGGGTCGTTGGAATCCGAACAAGTCGCTGAATGGTAGGGTACTTATTTAGTCATCTGAAAGTAATGGGTCCTATCACTGGTATATGCGTCCTGCTGAATGGCTTCAAACTAGCATTAAGCACTTGTTCAATGCTCCTTTGTTTTCAACAGTTTCTTAACGGATATCATTTCATGATGAAATCTAACTCCGAATCAGTTATAACCCGAGAAACGCAAAATTTGAAATGTAATAATATTTTTTCACAGCATATCATGATCCTAATGTCTAAAAAATACATGCAGCTTTGTTCCAAAGATGCTACTAGACATTTTTTGAGGCGAATTATAGAGAACGAAGTTTCCAGTCATGAATTCGAACCTAAAATTTTATCTAAGGAAAACAACCTCATTGTGCACTAAACAAAAACAAATAATTAATTGCCCCCTAGCTGTTATGCACTTCCTGTTAACTGATTCGTATTTGGCCAAAATTCTCGGTCTCCGTCGACGTTTCGGCGCCTACTAAGCGTTTCTCACCAAGTCCTCAAGGCTGACATCACGTTATCTGATTGCTTAGTGACTAGCAGTTACATTCAGGGGTGCGTTTCGAACTATTCGGAACTCATCGGCTGAGTGTACTTGCATCCCCAGAGATTCACTGACTTATTAAATAAAACTTTAGTGACTGAGATGATGGGTACAAATCATCCAGTTGGCGGGTTCTTTTTAGGACGAAACCAGCATCTTCAATCCCACTGTTAGTCACAATCAAATTAAATATATATATATAATTTGAATAAACATCGGTAACTACATCAAAGCTTTCTATTCCAACAGTAAGTTTTTACATTTTCTAGCTATTTGCGTACCATAGTCAATTTTTTTCCAGTTAGCTGTATCACCATCCACTACCGTTACTATAGTAGTTTACATCAGTCAGATGCTTGAACTTCTCAGCTAACGGCAGTCAACATTCCAAGTAACCCATGCATTTTTACTATTCTTTAAACTCTTCTTAGCATTTAATTACGCGCTTATAAGCATATTTTATGCAGATTGGACGTAATTGTTTTAAAAAAATTTCCTCCAACTTGTATTTATATTGTTGTCGTAAAACTAGGAAAAAAACATCGCTTTGTGTCTGTGCGTGACAAAGAGAGAGAGAGAGATAACCATGTGTTTTAAAAACAACAATTATACGCAAAGTGAAATATCCACTAATATAGTTGGAAATTTCGTTGCGTAAGAACCAACATTTTTAACTGTCAGAAGTCGACAGTGTTGTACTCTCTGAAATAGAGTTGTCATAATTACTTACACTATGATCGTTACTTGGTTGATGGAGGAATTCGAAACAAATGTTCCATCAAGTGGATGCGTGAGCACTAAGACTCTCACTTATCACCAGTCGCTTCAAATGCAAAGGCTTTATCCACTAGACTACTGGGCCACGACAGCCGCCTCTTGTGAGACGGGTATCAGTTGTACTTCGTGTTTTCTGTTTTGCACCGAAATGCTCATACTTCATTGACATGTCTGCGCATAGTACGAACGATCCAACGATGTTCAGATGATGAATCCCAAAACCGGGAGAAACGAGCACCATCAGTCAAATAAGATGATGTTAACCTTAAGCCATAGTCGGATTGCGCGAACTACTATATGCGATATGACAGCGGAGATTAAGTACTATAGTCCTATAGAAATTGAACACCAGGAAATAAAATATATCACGATTAAGCCTAGCAATGTCGTCATCTTCATCAAGCCATATTGTTTGCACTGAAAACATTAGGACAGTTAATTACTTTAAATAACCGATGTGGGATGACAATTTTCTAAAGAAACAATTATAATAGTTATAAGTTTCCAGACCGTAGTTGTTACGAATTTCCAAGTCATATCGAAACATTATAAATTATTTAAAATGATCCCAGTGTGTTTAAGAAAATCAAAAGATTTTTCTGAACGTTTCGTTATGTAAGCCCCAGCTTCTTCAGCAGAATTATTCGGATATTATTTAATCACCAAAATATACCGTCAGAAATATTTTACATAAACTGAAGTCGGTTCATTTGAAGGTCATTTTTGTACCAGTGGAAAAATGCAAGCAGTCATCATATATTTGTAATGACTAATGTCAATTTGTCATATGTGCATATTTGTCTTTATGAGTATGTGTGTGTGTGTAAGTGTATGTTATTTGTCATATGGAAAAGACGTCAATTCACATGTGATAAACATGATAATACATTTTGAAAAAATTTGAGCAATGGGTATATGATATTCATTATAATAGATCTCGTTTTGTTTTTTCATTCATTGAGAAATACAAAAAACCTCTATTATAGTGATAATACATTTTTTATAAAGGTCATAGGATGAAACAGCAGCTGTCCAGTACTCCCTAGTTTTCAATGGTTCTCTAACTGATATCAATATCTGTGATCAACTCGTGAAAACAAAACTAACCCTTACAAACCAACTATAGAAAATAGAGGGTTTTTGTTGTTTTTTCATCTCTCTTGCTTCCTTTAGTTTACCATATAGGAGATAAGTCTATCCCTTTTCTCCTATTTACTTCATTCGATGTGGTTAAAATGTGCAAGGCTTCAGAGGTGAACCTTTTGTTATGTGAAGGAAAGCCTCTTCCAAGAATTTCGACATTGTCAAAATCAATCTTATGTCCACTGTCTATCACATACATTGCTATAGCTGATCTTTTTTCTAGACTTTTTAATTCTACTTCATTTCTAGGTGGACGTTTCGTGCACAGTTTATGTTCATTCACTCTGACCTTCACCTGTCTACTGCTCTCCCCTATATACTAAGTAAGCTTCACATTCTGAACACAACTGTTTTGTGACATTTGGGGAACCATATCTTTGACACCCACCAAAGCTTTCTCTAGAGAATATATAATATTATTATATGAAGCAAACAGTCTTTGAAGTTGTTCAGCTGTCTCCTTTCGATATGGAATGGCTATCGCCGATAGCCAAGATTTTCTTGTTTTCCATTATGCTCCTTTCTATTGATAATAGTATTTACTAGCTTTATCGGATAACTATTTCCAATCAGAATTTCTTTTATATTGGATATCTCATTTTCCATATTATCATTATCTGTTATAATGTTTCTAGCTGCGTTAACGAGATTTAAAGCTACTGAAACCTTCTTTTTTTATTGGATGAGCCAATTGGAAATTCAAGTACTTGTTTGAATGTATCGGTTCCCTGTATATCGTGAACTTTAGTTTCTCGTCAGTTTTTTTTTTTCACAAGACACTCCAGGAAGTTTAGAGTTCCCTTTTCCGATTCTACTTCATTAGTAAACTCTATATATTTCTAGATTAAGTTAAATAATATATAATTATAATAGTTAACAATAATTTTTTTTAAAATTTAGTTCAACATACTACTGACATTTCCGGACAGATTTAAAAGTAAAGATAGACAACAATTTGTGTATTACAGTTGTTGTATTGAGAAATCGCTACGGTTGCCTAAAATGTGTATATATTTATATTATCACGTTTAATGCTTATGTGAACATAAAGACAAAGGAAAAGGCGCCTACATTGTTCCATCAGAAGATTTTTCACACTTGCTGCAGTTTAATCTGTTTAGCTTTATCTTCTTTCTTCCTCTTTCATTGGATAATTAGCCAAGTATAATAATAGTAGTAATAATAGGTGGAATAGTTTGTGAGGTTAAATGCTTCTGAAAACCATCAGTATTCTGAGACATTAGTCGTGTATCTGGTGAGACGATTGTTTTGTTAGCTAACAACACTTCCTATAGAAAACATCATTTTGGTTTTTCTTTGCTTTTGTTCTTTTAATTATTTACACCTTTAGGCTGTGAAGTGAATACATGAAATGCGATTTTTATTTTTTTATTTTTTTTATTTTAGCTCTAATTTTGGATTATAGACAAAATTTTGATTAGGGCAAAACAAAATCTTCACATTTTCAACTTAGTCAAAATAAGTCAAAGTTGATGGTGGAAGCCACTAAATATACGGGTTAGGCTATTCAAATGCACATTACAGAAATACATCTGCCCTGATTTTAGTTCCAGTCTAATACAACACGATTTACAATAACCACAGCATAGAATCAGTAGGTAAATGTCTCTTTAGGGAAATGAAAACAAAAATAATAAATAAAATGTAGCTTTAGACAAAAATAAAGATTGAACACATGATGATAATAGGCAACAAGATTGCAAAATTATTTATCTTTGCAAATTGATGATCACAATTGAAGAAATCAGACAAAGAATAAGCATACAATATTATTGAAGTGAAAAGTTTCTATTAAGGTTAGAAAGCAGGTTAAAAGAAGGGTTATCCATCACCTGAAACAGCCTTTAAGCCTTAGCATGGATGATTTCATTGACTTAATAGAATGTATAAAAGAAGGAATCAGAAGATTATTCAAACACTTATATGCCGAAAACAGAGAAAATATTGGAACACTTGTATTCTCTGAGACGCGCTGTTAAACTGAGAAAATTTCATTGTTTTTCTATATGACGTCATCAACCCAGACTTCAATATGAAGTTATGTGAATTCTGCATGGATTGTAAATAACAGTCTTGAGAGTATCATTTTTACTGAAGATATGAAGCACAGAAATATACCAACTATGTCGCTTACTGAGAAAGTCAATATAAGACCTGAAGGATTGACGACCGACAAAAACTTAACACGCGAACAAGAGGTCTATATGGCATTAACTAACTTGTTTCAACAGAGTGCCAGCGGTATATGAAACAACCTATCGCTCAACAGTTCACCCTACACTTCTCCACAGCTATGAAAGACAGGAACTGAGAGAAGAAAACATGAAAAACCTGTCAATATCCACTTCGGATGTTTTGTCAAGGTAACCAAGGTAAATTAGTCGATAAGATAGGGGATCTTTATTAACTGAGGTAATGGAGACATATGTTTCACAAACCTAACGAGCAATGCTAGTGTGAAATTAGGTTGAAAAAAGGATAACATGAATCACATAAAACACGGTACAAATCCATAAAGTCTAGAAATGTTACCCTGAATAACACCAGTGGGGTCCACCAGGTGGGATGTGAGAACAAATACTAACCGATGATATTGGCTGGTGGTCGCACTAAAACCAAAAATATGTAGAAGTTGGAACTTATGGGCCATTAGGCCAGGTTCCAGTGACTGAATAGTCTACGACCTTGCCTTGTAGTTTGAAGGTGCTGGGTCCTAACCCCGGAGGATGCGTACTGACGAAGAGTCGCAGACTAGGACGAAGCAGGCTTTCAGTACTCTCTAGTTCTCAGTGGTTCTCTAACTGATATTAATCCATGATCTGTAGAAACTAACTTCTGAAAATACAAGGAAGTGTTAGGGTGGCGCAACTGTGCCTCTCGAAATGTTAGGAATCAATTTTTAGATCGTCCTATCTTTGAATAATGAATAATCTCCATCCGTCTTCATATGAATTTGTGTTTTCTTACACATTACACTATCATCTTATTTCTCTTTTCTTCTCAGCTCTGTGTATCACCTCATCGTACTGCAGCTTGACGCTATTCTATGAAATGAATTACCTTAATCTGACTATTTGTCTGTTAATTTAATGAACAGTTTTTAGTCTAAATTGTCCCAGGATTTTGTTATCATCATTTAATTTCATTTAGCCAATGAAATTGAATTTAGTGTATGATTCTTAATATTATTCTTTCAAACATTGCAGAATACATTTATGTCACAATGAGAAAGATAGTTTGTAGAATACAATGATCAATCATTATATATATATATATATATATATATATATATATATATGTAGGTAAACCACAGAGCACTGGACAGCTTCATCGTACTGATACGTGACTAACTGTTCATCAGCGTACACCCATGACTCCACTAAGGATCGAACTCAGAACTATGAGTTTACGAGGTTAAACAGTTAACCATTCGGTTATGGATTTTAGTTTCTGTCATTTGGCAATATATCATTACCACTAATCAACGCTACCAATGAGTATCTGCGTGACAACCTACATAGTGGACTACACCGACTCCTTACTAGGACTGTACTAGGTACTTTCATTAGACATTAGTAACTAGTGTGATGTGTCTAGTCTTTTGTTTGGTACAGATTGAATCCTATCAGTCAGGTTCGAATCTTAGAAGGGAGATGGGTTCCTTCAAGGTTGCAGATACGCCTTGTTTACTGGCGAGTGGCAACCAGTACGAAACCTAGGTCAAGCAAGGCTTCCTGCCAATCGCCTCCAAACGTCTAACATCAACAATTCAAAGTGCAGCCTGATGGCGACCTACCTAGAGTGGTGGTCACATTGCAAACCTGACTGAGAAAATTAAGTCTGCATTAAACAAAAGACTAGACATATCAAATAGTTACTGGTGTCCAATGAAAGAGCTATACTTTAAATCTCCTCCTGCTTAAGTTACTGGAAAACTGATGTGTAGGTATGGTTGATTTTAAATTAGTAGAAGATATCTGAAACTCTAAATATAGACCTTTAACTTGAATTACTTTCCACGTGGCAAAGACAGGACTTCAAGGGAACATTGAGAAAACGGTAATGATGGGGATAAACAACCAATTCAATAAATTTGAAAGAGTTAACCTCTTTCACTTATCTAAGAAGCATCGTTTCCACTACAGGCGAAATGGATGAAGAAGTCAAAGGTGGGATGGCAAGATAGACTTTCAGTGCACTCAGCATAGATAAACAAGATTCATATTTTTAACACTAGTGTTAAATCGGTTCTTCTATATGGATTTTAGAGATTTGGCGCGTCACACAAAGCATTTCCAACAGATTGCTACAGACATTTGTCAACAGTTGCCTCCGATCTGTATTGAAAATCAGATGACAAGAAAGAATTAGAAACAAGAAACTCTAGGAACAAAAGAATCAACAACCTATTTATTACTTAGGGAATGTGTCAAAGAAAATGAAGATGGTTCGGATACACGCTGAGGAGACCGTTGGATGACATCACGCGCTAAGCCTTCGCTCGAGTGGAATCCCCCAGTGGGAAACGACAAGTTGGTATTCCAAAGGTGACATGGAAGAAATAGTATGAGGAGGAGATGAAATCCCATGGGTAATCATGGGGCTGACTGAAAAGGACTGTAGGGGAAAGGAAAAAGTGGAAATGGGCTGTTGAAACTCTATGTTCCAACTCGGAATCCAAGGGAATTATAATAATAAACTTTCCGAGATGACGTTCGTTATTTTAGGAAATGGTTTTCTATGTCATCCTAGTTATAATGTTTAAAGCGGAATGAAGGTTGGTTAAAATTTCAGTCTTTTTGTTTTAATGAAATTTCCTACGAATCTATTCTATCCTCTCGATTGACATTGTTTCTCTTCACTTCGATTCAATTATCTGAATCAGTTGTTTTAACTGTCTCGCTTACGACTGCTTATTTTCATGAATGCTGTCTCATTTTGATAAAGCAGGCAACGACAATATTTCATACATACGTGAGAATAGCATCCCCCTGGGACGGATACTAATACAACTTCAGTCAGTCACCAGATGTACTCAATGTCAGTTTTTCCCATAGATAAACTAACGTTTTAAAATTTTACAAACTGTCCACAGAACGCTGACGAAGAGAATTTATACACAGTTTACTAATGTGTCAGACAATGTCTAGAATTTCACAAGTGCCTATTTTTTCTACCCACTATAAAATTTAACAACGACACATACTTCGTTGTACATGTGTTCTTTAATTCATAACAAACAAATCAGTCGTTCTGTATTTCTGTGAAACAGCTGACCACTCTAAAAACAAACCTGTAGTGACTTAATAAAAGAGTTTTTGTAAGATATGATGTGTAACAAAAAGAGAAAAACATTAATACAGTACATCAAACATTTTTTTTAAAAAGAAAATTCCGTTTACTTCTCTGTATGTTTCATTGTATTGCCAAGAAACGTTGAGTGCGTTCAGTTGTACAGCAATTTCCAGGACACTGGATACATCTGTTACTGCATTCAATGTAATAGGTATAGCTACAACATGCCATGGTTTCAAATGTAACAAACTGGCATAACGACCAAAATCAGGCTACAATAAAAAAAGGTATAAACAAAGACAAAAGATAAGTAACTGAAAAGATTTGTAACATAAGCTTTTGTTCTCCAAGCTTTTTTATTATTTATGCGACTATAAATGATCGGTAATAAAACATCTACAACCGGTCGGCATAAAACCTAGGTCCAGGCGTTTCTGCCGATTAACACCAAACATCTAACGGAATTTCAAAGATAGTCAACCATCTAGCTTGATGATCATATTGCAAACTCGGTTCACAGAATTTAGTCAACACCATCGACTAGACAACATAATACGCATACACAGGAACCATTTAATGTTTGGATTTCCCGCCGATGACATTAGTTGATGGTCACGATAAAAATCACGAATTGGCAGAAGTTAGAAATCATGGGCTATTGAATCGTGTCCCAGTGGTTAAATGGTATACAGGCTTGCCTTGTAACTGGGAAGTCTTGGGTTCGAATCCCAGTTGGTGAGTACTGCCAATGATTCCCAAACTAGGATGAAATAGCTGCCCATCACTCCCTGGTTTTCAATGGTTCTCTAACTGATATCAATTTATGGTTAAACTCGAAAAACAAATCAAAACCTTATAAATCAACTCTTGAAAAGTATGATGATATGCCAAAGATTGGAGAAAATGAGATAATTTCCGAAAATACGAACAACGGAGACAATTATCAGTTTATAATTTATCGTTATCACATCATCTAATAGTCTCCAAAGCCTCAGGATGGTCGGGGGTGGGTGTCTTGCGCTGCGGGTTGGCCACCCCTCCGCACACCTCTTGAAATGCTCCCATATGACCGTGCGTCTTACATAGCCTCTCCTGAGGAAGTCCTACTCACTGCCTTCACGTGGCGGAGGTGTTTCTCACTAAAGCGAGAGGGCAAAGGCGGATGCCCGGCGCTCTCCACCGGGTTGACTGTCCATTGGATGACAGTCTAGGGGAGATGGCTAAACCCTGATTCCAAACCTTCAACGACTGGCGTATGAAGCTCACCGGAGCTCACCGTGAGACGTATGGACAAAGGGCTTGTTGGATGTCCTGGATGTCTGGCCCCATTCAAAAAGGCGTATGAACCGAACTCCGGTCACCGGCTGCCAATGGATAGTGGGCTCCCTACTCCACTCCTACTGCCTTGTAGGTCACACTTGGCTGTGTAACGGCTAGAGCTGCACTCTCAAACAAAAGGCCGAGCGATGATGGGGACATCACTCGTACCAAATTCCCAAGAAACTTCATGAACTCGTTCATGAAGCCGGCTCATCCTCCCGTAGGAGATAGCCGAAGTAAAGTAAAGTAAGTAAGTACATCATCTAATAACACAGAAAGACAGAAGTATAAGAATATACAGTCGAAGTTTTTACACTTTTTAGCAATCATATTAGGCAAAATAATCTTGCGTGATACAGTTTATCTCAACACAGGAGGTGATAAGAATAAATAGAAATTTGCCAACAGATTTCATAAAATAATATTTTCAATACACTTAAATGCACATAGAATGCTGTATACTGTATTCTACTTACAAACTAACACATTCTTACTGCTACTGTTTTTCAAGAGGATGTTACAACACTAATAGAAGAGTGGCTTTTTCGTTTTTCATCTTAGTTTCTTTCAAAAAAAAAGACAACAACTGAAAAGCACGTAGAAATATTGACTTCAATCTGATTAAATAATCAATATAGTGAATGTAGGCAAGTGTAGGGCATATTCCTCATTTTCCAACATTGGATTGAAATATAAATCAATTCATCTGGAAGTTTTCATACACGATTATCTTTTTCTTTCAATCAACTTGATGAGAGTAGGAACATCAAACTGATGAACAGATAATAACTATTATTATTCCTTTGATTTACGAGTGGAACATACAGCTTTAACACCACATCTCCACTATCTTTTGTCTTCTGCTCTCCTCTCCAGCTGGCTTCAAGATTGACCATGATCTCTCATGCCTTCCTCGCACGATCGTCTCTATGTTACTCTCAAAATTGTCGCTTCCCATTGGGATTCCACTCGAGAGTGTGAAGCGCTATTTCATCAGACAGCCTCCTCAATTTATGACCAATCAATCTCCATTTTTTTCTACATATCTGTTGAGCAATAGGCTCCTGGTTGGTTGGTTTGTTTCCAGACAAAGCTTCTTGTTACTAATTATTTCTGGCCAGCCAGCCAGCCAGCCAGTGAATGAATGAAGCAGCTGTTGATAAAAGACTGCAGTGGCCTGTTTGAAATCCTTTTCATGATATGCTGGCCAAGTTTCTGACCAGTATAAAAGTACTAACTGACTGACCTTACATTTGTGTTGAAAATCCGAATTTCGTTCTCTATCCTGAAGCAGAGTGCAGAAGATTTCCACACTGGTTTCAGGTTGATGAGGGTGTATCTTGCCTTTCCAATTCTATATGGCTTTGATATCTTCACCAGTCTCGCCTACCTGTGGTTAAAACCGTGCTTTCTAGCCGGATAAATGAAGCAAGTAATCTCTGTCAAGTGTCTCCGGTTGATGGTGATTGGTTGGTTGGTTGGTTATCATCACTTCCGTCATCTCTATGTTCTCCTAAAGTCCTGTCTTCGGTGCCAGTTTGTTGGTTTTTGCTAGCAATTTTTCCAGTTTGTGTGAAACTAAACATGAATCATCTGCGAAATCGATGATCCAGCGTATTCCTGTTCCTTTGCTCCCCATAGTTTGACGCATAACCCAGTCCACCACAATTAAGAATATCATTGGTGATAATAGGCAGGCAGCTTGTCTTGATCCTATATGCACTTTGAACTCCTCACTAAGTTTTCCGTTGTGGATCACCTGAAACGTGCTACTGTCATATAGCCAGCTGTCCAATGAGGCTAATAAAGATATGGGGCGTCGCATGCCATAGTGTTGAATTAGTTCCCAAATTACTTCTAAGTCAACGCTGTCGAAGGCTTATCCGAAGTCGATGAAGTTAAGATACAGGTTTGATTGCCGTTCTATGCCTTGTTCCTATGATGATGCATAAAGTTGCCGATTGATCAGCACATGATTTAACTTTCCTGAATCCAACTTGTTCTGGTAGGTAGGGCGAAGTTCTACATCCAGTGCATATTTTATACTCTCTAGGGGAGGGGATAATATGATGTCATTTTATTCCCAAAGGGGATTCCTTTCAACTATATATAACGAAAAACAATATTCAGATATTTTATTATACCATATATTGTTATTCCTTTGGGTTCTTAGTGAAATGTAGTTCACTAGTTAACTAGTCGATGCTAAGCCCGTTAAAATAAGGAAGCTACAGTATGGGGCTAGGAATCCTATCCCGGAAAATCAGTTCAACCGCTACAGAAGCCTGAAAGCATAGAAAAAGCATAGAAAATAAACTCATTCAAATATACCAACTTGAAGACAGACTACGAAAAATTCTCATTGTGATGTGATTAAGAATACATAAGTCGGCAAACAGATGTCTTCTATTTGTAACTTCTCTTCAAAATTATACAGGTTTTTAGAGGTTTAAAGGTTTCCTATCAATTATTTCCAGATGACTGACTACTTATTACTTAAGTAATTGGTTTTCAACTCTCTCTCAATTATCTAAGAATATTCATTATTCATATTACCACTTCCCATAAGCTTGATTTATGTTTGTCACTAACTGACAGTAACCTCTGACTTTTGGTGTCAATTACCACTTTACATATGAGTTATGGAAAGAGACCTTTATGTTGGCTTATGTGATCTTGAAGACAAAGGCCACAGATTACACAAATGAATACACAAAAAATTGGGTGTATAAAGTTGTGTTCATATATATATATACGTTCAGGTTATTTAAATGACTTATACACCCAATAAGGTCAAAAAATAAAAGATAAGAGGAATAACATCATCGGATTGAATGCAGTTAAAATTATCAAAAAAATTCGAAGTGACAAATTTAATACAACTTAGAAACCAGATAAATTTTGATGCAACGGACAAAAAAGCATAGCAATTTTATGCGGGTCAGTAATTAGCGTTAATGCTACTGCTACTAGGCTGAACAAAACTTACTCTCGTCAACAACCAACAACTCGGTAAGCTGAATTCATGCAAATATTTTACAAAAGTACCTTTGCTTTTTGTGAAGTTTCAGTTAACGAGAATGCTTTCTTTCCTCGTAACCTGAATGTCCTGAGTTTGATCTTTCTTGGGGTCAATGTTGTGTACTGCTGATGAAGGGTCCTTAACTAGAAAGAGGAAGCAGCTGTTCAGTACTTCCTGACTTTCAGTAATCCTCTTACTGATGTCAGTTGTTGATTTAACTTAAAACCAGTCATAATCTTTGCCAACCAACAGCCCAATGCATTTACATGCAGCTGGCGATGAGCAACATCTAGCATTTACTAGGAACTAATAACAATACACGGTTGAGCAACCCTCAACCAGAAAACAGTAGTCGGTTGCTGAATGTTAAACATCTAAAGTAAGCAGTCATAACTCAATGTTTCTGTAATAGGATAAGAACTGCTCAAAATTCTAAAGTATTCCCAAAAGCTAACCAATCAATAAAATCGATAGTTAAGTTCAACGTGAAGAAGTAATTAGAAACAGATATACAAATAACTGATAAAGTCATCATATAACGGAGTTGTTCTAACATCAGTTATTCGGCTGATAGATAAATCCCCTTAATCCTACATTAATCTACTGTTAACAATTTCATAAATTTACTGGTAGGATATTTGCAAATAAATATTGATTTAAACCAAAGCAGATAAAATGAAATGCTCTAATTACTTGTAATCATTTGCCTAAGAAAAATTAGAGAATTTTCAGAAATGTACGAAAATCACTGTAGAACTTTTATTTGTACTTAAGTGTCTGTTAAAATCACTAATCACAACTGACACCGAATGCGCGTACATCTCTAAGAAGTCAAAGTCGTCTATATCTCGACACGTATTACACATACCCAGCCCTTACCTTCCTCGTCGAGTACTGTTATCTGGCACATGATTAGATTGGAAAAGAGTC